GAATGCTGTTACAGCAGGAGGAGCAGCCAAAGAGGGGGAGAAAAGCTCCTGCAAAATTGCAGTTTAATATACAGTTTACAATATGCTGTTTAGTGTGCTCTTCAAACCTGCCCCTCCCTACTGCGTTGCATGTGTGCTGTAGCCCTATCAAAGAATCCCGAGTGCAATCCTGTGTTCAGTAACTGAAGGCTTGCTAGCACAAAGAGATTAGGATTAAAAACATCCCTGAGATAAATTCTTGATCTGCAAATAACTGAAATGGTGTTTATCACCTTAAAGTACTCCAGTATCATAAAGGACACAGGGTCTTAACTCCCCATGCCTGCCAAACAGCAAAAATAGTGCAACTATTTAAAGGAAATAGGCCATGAGAAACCTGTGAGCCTAATATCCAGTGATATTTCAGCTAACGCTTTTCCAGAGTGAACTGCAATTATAATATCTGCTGGTTTAAAAAGAAGCATTGAACTCCTTGCTCATGGAATGTCCTTGACAGCTGGAAAAGAAAATCACAGACTGAAAAAAAAACCCAACAAACAACCAAGACTCTCCTGAGCTTTTTCCTAACTGATAATTGTTCAGCCAGTTAGGAAAAGTACCTCTGTGCTGGAGTCCATCTGGTTGATTTTTAAAGTGATATTGGTGAAGCTGTAACAACTTTTTCAAATGCCTGTTTGCTAAAGTTAATGCCTCTGCTTTGGAAAATAGGCACTAGTTTTAACCATGCTTAAGCCATTCTAAATACATGAAGATAGATTCTAAGTGAGCTTTGGATCTGTGCCTGGAAGCTTCATGATTCTCATGTGAGTATAAGGATATTTTAAATTTGCAAAAGTTGCTAGGAAGTTAAAATTGATTGGTGCTGTAAATATCCAAGATTCTGATTCTGTGTATGTTATTTCAGATTTCAGAGGTGGATAAAATCAATACAAATCAATGGCTGCTATACTGATGCAGCCATGAAGCCATACTTAGAGTCACAGTTAGGTTGAAATGGACCTTAAAATGTCATCTAGTCACATATAATGAACAGGGACATCTTTAAATAGGTTTACGTTAGGCCCTCTTCAGATACTAGAAAACTGCAATAAGGTCTCCCTGGAGCTTTCTCTTCTCCAGGCTGAACAACGCCAACACTCTCAGCCTTTCTTCATAGGAGAGAGGTTTTTCAGCCCTCTGTTTTTGTGGCCCTCCTTTAGATCAGATCCAAGAGGTTCATGTACTTGTTGGTTGAGGACTTCGGAGCTGAATGCAGTATGCCAGGTGGGGTCTCAAGAGAGCAGGGTAAAGGAGGAGAATCACTTCCCTTGACCTGCTGGCCACACTTCTTTTGATGCAACCCAGGATATGGTTGGCTTTTTGGGCTACGAGTGCACATTGTTGACTCCTGTCCAGTTTTTCATCCACCAGTACCCCCAGTTCTTCTCTGTAAGGCTTACTATGGTTTTATTTATTAAGACATGATCAAACAGGAAAAAAGTGGCATTTGCCAGTTCACCTGCCCCTCTCATGCCTGTCACGTGCTTTATGTAGTAGCATAATTTGTCACTGTTAGGACTAACACGTAGTTTATCAGAAGATTTTGCATTGGCTTATTCATCTTGTCAAGGGAGTTAGCATTCTGCTTCACCTTATGAGAGTTGCAGTAGATGACACAATTTACATATACTTAATGTATTCTAAAACCATGGCATTTATTTTATTAGCTCTGTCCTAATTGCCTCTAGGCTATTAGTTGTTTGAAATATGACATATTTGGGGTCCCCACAGTCCTACATTATTTAGCTTGGTACCACTCAAACCAGCAGAAGGATCAAGTTGGGAAGACAGTTGTTTTTCCCACTTCCAATGCATTGAGCAAATCTTGCAGACAGGTCTGTACAAGAAGAAAACCACTAGTAGTAAAAAGGTGTGATCTGGTGGATTTGTGCGTTAACTGATTGTACGTAGCATCAAGTTCTTATTTTAAACTAATTTGGAGAGATTAAGTTATTATTATATTTTTAGACATAGCAGATATGAATTGTATGTATTAGATTGGTGTGAGTAGATCAAGAATTCACACTGTAGCTGTTTCTGCATTTGTTATAAGCCTTCTCTTGTACAACACTAGAATTATTTGTAAAAAGTTTATTAAAAACATGGTTGAATCTGTATTCACTTTTCTGCTGTGACTATAACTTAAACCCAGATATGAAATTAATTATTTCTTATGGACTCTTTTTTTCTTTCAGTATCCAGTTGAGACGTGTATTTCTGAGATATTAATAACTTACTTGTTTGAATTAAAGATCTTACAATTATGACTCTTACTGAATTAATGCATGGAATTCCAAAAATGCTTCTCAATAGTGGGGTAGTGGATTGAGAGTAAGTCTGTGTCCCAGGAAACATAGATGTTTGGAAGATAAAGGGAATTACTGATGAAGATCAAGAGTGAGCTTCATTTTACCCAACTGTAGTATCTACAATGTAGGTTTCTACAGTTGAGTTTCTTTCCTTAGTCTTTTTTCTTCTTTTGTATTAGCTAAGAAATATGGATACTTTTGAGTTTGTATGAGTTGAGTAACTGGTTGTAATAGAGAAGATGAACTATGCCCCTGATACTGCTTCTTAGGCTAACCTAATGTCTGTTGTATGCAAAGGAGAGCCTGTAGTGCCTCTGTCAGGTGTATAGATGTATGCTGCCAGCTGTCTACTTTAGGGAGATATTTACTGCAGCATCTCCATGGAGTAATGATACTGTTGGACTGGGGAAATTGTCTTGTAGCTCTGATCATTTTGGTTCTGCTAGTGGAAAAGAGCTTTCATATGTGCAATTTAACTTGTTGCCATTTATTTAGTCTTAAGAAAATACTGTGGCCATGTTTAGAGAAAGAAAACAAAAATTCTTAAAATAATATCAGTGCTCAAAATGAATGCACTGTTCTTTTAAGCAGGAAATTAGTGCTTTCCGGTCCTTTCAGGTGAATATCTAGATCTTTTGATTAATTTCTATATGACGGAAATTGGTTGCTGATTGTTAAAACTCATTCCTTTCATGCTTTTACTTCCTTTGTTGTTTGTCTGTCTCGTAATTTCTGTGCTTTGGGAAAAGATCTTAAAGTTTGGCGCACAGATCCTGGCTCCATCTTCGACATTGATCCCCTGGAGGACAATATTCAGTCTAGGAGTCTGCATATGCTTTCTGGTATTGCTTATATCCTGACTAATTGCTAATATCCTATCCCAAATTAGACCTTTTTATGTTTATGAAACTAACTTGATACAGTAAATTTTCAGGTCAATGTGCCAGCCATATGTTTTATAAGTATGTTTTCATATACATATATATAAAACCGTGGTATTTTAAAAGCAGTGTTTTATAGGAACTTCAGTTGTAATCACATGCTCAGATAAGAAATAGCGAAATAAATCTTACCCTAAACAAGAATGGTTCATATCGCTTATGATTAGTTACTTAAAAAGCATTGACCTGCTTTTTCCTCACTCTAAGTAGAATTTTCAAGTAGTTGGATCTTACTAAAATTTTAAGATATAGAAGATGGCCTATTTATAAAATTGATTTATTTTCTATGCACAGTTTGCTTATATGACACATGATATTATGGCTTGTGCTATTATTTCCAACTCGAATGCATTCATATTTTAAGGGTAGATGGGAAAGGAGAGAAGATAATGTAATAACAGGCAGTAATGTTTTGGTTCTGCAAGTTTCTGAATTTCTTTTCCGCCTAGAGGTGTTTAATTTTGCACATGTATTTTCTTTGCTACTAATAGTGCAACTTTAAATATTCTTTTGAATGTCATACAGCAGTATTTCCACATGCACTTGTATGCATGCTGGAAATTTTCATTCTTCATCTTCATCCCTCTTTTTTTCCCATTATCTCCTTCCTACCTTCTGTTTCTTCTTTTTAAGCAGAAAACAAGCTTAGTTGTATCTGGTTTTGAAGCAAACTTTTAAAGAAAAAAGTGTGTTCAAAATGGATATAAAATTGTGAACAATTCACTTCTCTAATTTTAATGCCATCAGTGTGTGAAAATCAATGTTAGCAGTGCTGGGCTTTTTGCTGTTGCTCATCTTTGCACTTTTATCACCTATTTACTGTGATTTTTTTTCTTTCTACCTCTGTAGAAAGAGCAAGCCGTTACAGTAAGCAGTATTTGCATTCTGCCAGTGTGGGAGATTATAAGTCAGATGGCTCTGACACGAACCCTACCTTTTCTTACTGCAGTGAGATAACAAGGCCATCTGACGAAGGAGGTACCTCGTCTTGCCACCTTTTTCATTAATGACACTGTCACAGTGTGTTGAAACCTCACAGGCCTTTATTAACTCCATGTCTTTGTATAGTCACAAATGATTAGGCACTACGTAAGCTCTTGCCTGATTGATTTAAGAAGCAAGATGAAATCTTAGGACTGCACAGTTTCTTGCATGTCGTTTTGGTTTTATTGTGTATTCTCTTTCACCACTTTGGTAACGTTGTCAGTCTGAAAGCCCTGCTAACTCTCACATAAAATGCTTAAGAGGAATTGTGTTTTGTGTTTTTGCAAAATGTACATTAATTTGTTTTTTTTTTCTCTTCTGAAAGGCACAATGTAACTGAAAAAAAAAAAACCACCTCTAAACTGAAAAAAAAAAAAAAAAATTAACTTGTGCTTTTCAGTGGGTAAATCAAGCATAAAATGGTATTTTAGTGCCTGAAGTATTTCTTCCTGTATTAAGCTATGCAGGTGCTTGTGGTGCTCAATTTCCATCCAAAAAAAGTGTGTCAACTGGAAACTTTCTCACACATGAAAGTTTTCTTATACTCTGAGCAGTTTGGGACCTAGGGTTAATATTCAGCTGGGAAGCTTAAGTAGTCTGATACTGTTTAACATGTATTAATATTATAATAGGTTGATGAACCTTCATTCACAGGTACAAACCCACATCTTGTATCCGTTTGATGCCATAAATTAAATAAAGTTTATGAAAATTATGAATAAGGGTCTAGTTGTCATAGGGGCATTATGGGATGTACTAGACTTGACTAGTGATTTGTAAACATTCAGAAACATTGAATTCTAAATATATTTTTTAAAAATAATTATTTTCACTTGTCAGTTGTTAAAGAAGGTGCCTTGAAAGGGCTATCCAAAGAGTTATTTTTTTAAGGAAGAAGTTAAGAGTAAAGATATTGCTACAATTTAGTTGCCTGGCATCCTTGAATTACCTATGCTTTTAGAAGATTGTAAGGCATCTTAATTGTAGAGTGTGCCTGTTTATGTTCTCCTGCTCACCGGAGTAATATGTTATTATAGCAGCTAGTGTTTAAGGAGTCCACACTGTGTTGCATGCCATATAAATACATACAAGCAGCTCTGATTAAGAGCAGGTGAAGAAGATATTGTTCAGTTCTGGAGAACTAATGCTGGACAAAGAACAAAACAGGTCTTTCACAGAACTGTAATCCCTGGTATCATGTCTGTCCATCTTTATTTGATATTTTAACTATATTCCCAACTCTTTTAATAGATGCTAGCAATAATGCACATCATGCTGATTTTTGTCTCTTCCTGTGATAATATGAAATGGGCTTCACAGTCCAGTGCATATTGTCTCTATCTGTTCTGATCTTTTATGGCTCTCTTCCAAACTGTTTTACCATTGCTTTGTCAGCTTGATTTGACTGTTAACAGGTATTTTTTATTACTTGCCATACTGAGAATAGGAAATGGGCCTTATTTTCCCATTTTTTTTGCCACTAGAAAGCTTGCTTTTTGTGTCTCTATTTAAAACTATTGTTATGGTGATGTGTTGAATAGATTATTGCCAAGATCAACACATTTCAACAATATATTGTTTCCACTTTTGACCCATCTGGCTAGCCAGGGTTTGAGCACTTGCAGACAGTTCCTGTTGCTGGGGAGAAATAAATGCCAGAGCTAAGTAATTTGACATAATCCTAGTGACTTACAAGAAAATACCACTTCTGTGAACACACTCAGGAAGAAAAAAAAAACCACCAACCAAACAACAGAAGATAGCATCTTTGATCAAAATACCAATCTTTTTCATGGCAGCATCCTATCCAAAATGTCATTTTGGAGATAGCCACAGGGTGAGTTTGCCCTTGACCTTTATACAGTTTCTCTTATGGCATACCACAGTAAATAAGAACCAAATCTATTTTGCTGAGATTTCATGCCAGTTTCTCATGGATTCTGTGCATTTAGATCTAGCAGTGCTTTTTACTGGCAGTTCTTCAGTCTGATGGCACACCAACATGAAAGACAATTGGAGACTCGTGACCAACTTTACAGCTTCTAAGTGTCTTTGGCCTTGTCTCATCATCTTTCAGATACTTCTACGTTGATGGATTGCTAATTTATTCTAGATACCTTTACTGGTATTTGACCCACAATTCAAGTGATCCACTGCCACTGATGATGAAATTGTTCCTAAATCACCTCTCCTAGCTGATAGCTGGGTCCCTGGCTTCATACAAGGTGTTAAAGGCTTACTCAGATCTAAGTAATGCTCTCTTGTCTTTGGGGAATTTCAGTAACAATGTCACAGGGGAGCTACTAACATTGTTCACTAGAATTACTTCTTCCTATTTGGTTCCCTGACCATTTTTTTAGGTGACAAGGTTGAGCTAAGCCAAATGTGCCTCCTAGGTCCTACAAAATCAGTAGATTTTTACATGATGTAATTTCAGGAAAATCCTTCTTCTCCCTTTTAGACTAGTGCAGGTAAAACTGGATAGGAAACAATTGTTAACACTTTCCAGCAAGCCTGATGCAGGTAATTAAATTTCTTTTCAATATGCTTACTAAAATTACTTTTCAACTTTGTCTGGCCCTTTTGCAGCTTCTCTTGTTATTGTTTTTCAGGGTTGACTTTATTATTTCAGGGTATCATTGATGTTTTTTGCCGTATGGGACAGGAGGTGTTGCTTAAGAGCCTCTCTGCCTAAGTGCTTTGTAATTAATTATGGCCCTAACAAAGCTTTCCTTTTTACCTGCAAGCCTTTCTGTAGCACTTGCCAGAAATGGTTGGGTGCCACATTAGTTCTTGCAAAATTCTCAGCTGTTTTTGTAGTAGTTATTTTCAGTTTCATTAAAGAGGAAAAGAAGCTAATGATTTCTCCCTTTCAATCGTGCTTTTAACACTGGTGTTGCAACTTCTCAGACATGGAGCTATTAATTCAGTCTTAGAAAGGTTTTTCAGGTTAATTGCATCAGAAAGAGAAGTTTAGATTTATGGATGTCTGATTTGCCTTTGTTTAGAAAGACAGACCAGGCAGTTCCTTCTTCACAGAATACTGTAGAAAAAAGCAACAAGAAAGAGTTTCCTTGCTTTCCACAGAGATCTTTCTAGACAGCATTGTGTCTGACAAATTTCTCAACACTTTTTAGAATTTCTTTATAAAGCCTCTTGTGTCTGTCCTGATTTTCTGTGCAGTCTTACACACTCTTTTTCTTCCAGTTCTTTTCACACTCACTTTCTTGTTCCCCTTCCTTCCTTAGAAGTATGGTCGCATCCTATTAGTTTGCATTCAGGCACCAGGAGAGGATGATCTGGTTCATATGGCTCAACACTGATTCCAGTCTTGCATTATTTTGGACAGTTATATTTGTATTTTAACAATCTACTCCGTGAAGGAGATTAATTACTTTTTCACGTAACTCCCATTTCTGTCTAATTATGGAGCTTTTGGTGTCTGATGACAGAACATCATCAGAACTTTTGACTTCTTGTATTCATGGTCTCTACAGTGTTTCTCAGAAGTTATGCTAAAGCATGTATTTTTATAAAGATATCTTCTATTTTAAGGTCTCCATATAAAATTAATCTACTGTCTTTTGCTAGTAACTTTTTTCAGTAAGTGAAAATGGCATTTAGGTCACACTCTAATGGTTCAAGACTGCTTTGTTGATTTCCATTCCCCCAAAGGCAAGAGTGAAAATGCTTGAAGGTAGCACAAGTTCACAATATTGGAGACTTTTTTTTTAAAGGCTTGTTATTTTAGAACAGTTTCTATATGTATAGTCTCTCAGTAGTTCCATCTCCAGACTCTGAGGAAAGGGAAAAGGGAAAAGACTTTTTAACACTGGAATGTTAATATGTGGTACGATGTGAAGTACAGAAATGAATTTGTAGGCATGATCAGTGCCAATCACAGAAACCAAACTCAGTTGCTCAAAGCTCAGTGTGTGCAGGTATAGACAAAGAGTGGCAAGATAAAATGAAGGCTGCAAGTACTCCTTTAAGGTTAATTAATACTTTTCTTCAGACCCATTGTTCATAGTAAGCAAAGAAACAAAATACTACAATCAGAAGAACTTCTGGTTTAGTATTAAAATGTCAAGCAGTTCTAGTCTTTGAGAACACAGAAATAGGTCCTTAAGGGAGTGACGTGCAGGGGTCACTCAGCTACTACTGTAACAAATGACAGGATTTGATGTGATGTCAGGGAAGTGACTGTACAGTTTGTGTGCTGCTCGAACAGAGCATCCTGGTGACTGACCAGATGATGGCGGGTGAGCCATGGCACTGTTGCTTGGGCTGCCATTTTTGTTACTTCTGTTTTGCACTGATCTTTGAATTCCTCTTCATGTGTTTGTAATGAGAAGTCACATCTGTGCTAAAGAGTATCGCTACTGTTCTCATTTTACTGTTATTTATTTATTCTCTGTCTATTATTATGCAACAATTTGTGTGCAGAATTTTTCATTCTACTTCAGTGAAAGTATTTTCCTTAGGGTTCTTCCTTTTGTTTTAATTATCAGAGCCTTTCTATGCTGCTTTCCTTCAGTCCTCTTTCAACTTCACAGTGTTTTCATTTCAATTCCTAATGTTTATCCTCCTCTCAGCTTTTAATTTAATTATTTTCCAATTTATTGTATCTCTGTAGAGCTTTCTGTTTGTTTTTTTTTTTTTTTTTTTTTTTTTGGTTTTTTTTTTTTTTTTTTTTTTTTTTTTTTTTTTTTGTGGTTTTTTTTTGTTTGTTTGTTTTGTTTTGTTTCTCTTGTTTTTCTTTTATTCAAATCAGCAAGATTTTATTTAATATGGCCAAGTTTTCCTTTAAGTCTGAAAGTTTCTACTTTAAAATTATCTTAACAAACGTTCTGCAACAGATTCATTTAGTTTTTTTTGTCCCTGATACGTCCCTTTTTTCTCTTTAGTTGAAACTTTTTAGGTTATTTTTTTCCCCCCTTTTCATTTTGACTTTCCCTTTTTTTCTTCTGTTTCCTCTTAATTTCTAGTCTAAT